GAAGTCAAGATGTCACACCAGGAGGTGCAACATCAAACATTTACAAAAGCTCTAGAACCTGTTCTATGGATATGGTTAGTTCAATGAAAAGTGAAGGTCCTTATGGATAGAAAGATGCATATGATTTTATTTTGTGTCCCTTAACAAAGTAAATCCATTATTTGTGAAGTCTTCGAAGGGTCTCATGTACTCCTTAAATGAAAACAAGGTATGTTTCTGAGTTACTCTATTGAGAGGGGTACTCTTGGTGATGTTTTCAGGAACACAATCAATTATGTGTTCATTAAAAGGAAATGATGTTCAACCAGATGTTGGAACATCATTTCAGCAAGTTTGATACTCTAGAAATTATAGAAGATTTCAAAAGGCTAGCTGACACTAAATAAGAAAGTTCTCAAGAAAATAAATTGTTTAGGAGGGAGCTCATTATTTGAATGTTATTTTAGTTTATGATCATTAGTTGTTTCAGGAATGAAATAGATAATGATGGTGATGTTTAGAGTAAAAGGCTTGGCCAAGTCTGAAGAAAAATGTATCATTGGAGGATATTATGATCTCTGAGATTAGAATTAATTGAGCCCTGGTATGTCTTGAAGATTAGGTAGATTGCTGAAGAAGGATGTTTTCTATATTGGGTTGGTTACTAAAAAGGTACAATGTCTAATCGGGTGTCATGGTATTATAGTGTAACATTCTACTGCAATTAAGATACAAGGATTTTATTTTTCTTGCAGAGAAAATTCATTAGGTTTGTCATTATTATGTCAGGGATCTTGCTACAGAATATTGGCACTCCCAAGCTTGGTCTGACTAAGGAGCTTTGGGAAGGATTTTATCATAACTGGAGGTGCAAGTTATTTTGAGTATACAAGGGTATTTTTCAAATTGCACTGTGGGAGAATTTTTTGTAGTAACTGTTTGATCGGTGTTGCCAACTATATTCCTCCTTGTGGTATGTGAAGTCTCAGAAGAAGCATGTTCAATGGCATGAAGAATGTCATTTCAAATATTGTAACATTTTCAACAAAGTTTTGAAAATAGAGAAGTTTGAACAGGGGCGTGTCTCTCTCTTATTGAATGGTATACTATTACTAAAGAAGATTTTATCTCCTTCCAATAATGCTTTCATTGACTAATTTATCGTTACAAGCAAGGCTTTTTTTACAATCTAACTAACTCACCTTGTATTTATATGATTTTCTTCCTCAGGTTTCTCATATATTATGTTTTAACACGAGTAAATCTTCTAAATATATTGGTGTTAAGAAGGTTCATTTGCTGGAATCCAACAAGGATATGGGCAGTGATCCAAAGAAGGTTGGATTCAACATTGCAAAAAATGTTAGAACATCAACTAGAGCATCCTGGACAGGGAGAAAATCTGTGACAGAGATGAAATCTTTGAGGAAGAATCAGGTTCATTTACATGATTCAGATTCAGATGTTGATAAAGACTGGGTCAATTTCAGTGACTCGGAAGGAAGAATTGGATAGTTGGTGACTGCTATCTTTTGTTTTTTTAAAGGTTTTTTTTGTGTTTTGTTTGCCACTTCTGCTTGGGGGAGTTGTTTTCCCTTAAGTCAGTTTGATACTTCTAGTCCTGCATCAAGTTTTGAGTCTTTTTTTTAGAAGAAACTTAGACTTACTCCTTGTTTCTGTGGGATTTTTTTAGTCTGTCCTGGTTGAGGGAGTTCTTTTCCCTTGATACATTTTGTGTTTTTATTGAGTTAGATTCCTTTGTTTTTTTGTGTGTGTCTTGAATCAATTACTGCCTGTATTGATTCTATGCGTCAGTTTCTTTTGAGTTAAGTTGTAGGTCTAGGTCTTAGTCAAGTGTTGTTGCTTGCAATACTTTAGGGTGAGTATAAATGTCCGTCATGTAAGTCTTGAGTCTGTTCTTACAATTGTTTTGTAAGGATGTTTCATAGGATGTTCTAACATCATGTATGAGTCTGTGTCTTTCTTGTTCTGAGTCTTTCTGTTGTGTCTTGTGATCTGAGTTAAGAGCATGGTTGTGTCTTGTACTCTAAGTTATCTGGAGTTGAGGTCTGGTCCTGTCAGTCTTCACCTGGGAAGTTCAGGGTGATAAATTGGGAATGTGTTTGATGTGGAGCAACATTTCTCTTCTTCCTCATGTACAAAGTCTACATGTATGACATGTAACTTATGTGTTTCCACTTGTGGTATTGCCTGTGTTCTAAGTGATCGTACAATATGTGTTTCCACTTGTATACATTTACTTTGTTTCTTTTTATTAATATTTTGGCTAAAAAGGGGGAGTAAAGTATTGTGTCCTGATGTTATATCACATGTCTTGACATATTGATCTAGCATTGTGATAGAATTATGAGCTACTACTTATGGGAGAGTATATGTTTGTGGTTGCTTATGCAACTATTCAGGGGGAGTAGTTGCTAATACTACTTCTGTTGTATGTGTTCTGGTGTGTAGGTTATGTTATTAAATGAAGAACTGATTATGTGTGACAGGGGAGTGTTAACATGGCTGGTTGTAAAAGCTTCTGAGTTGTGTTGTATTTATATAGTTTACATGATCAGCATGTAGCTGGTGTTTGTGGTCTTATTCCTCTCTCCACGTGTAATTGAGATTTTTGGTTGGTTTAGCCAAAATTCGCCAAAGGGGGAGATTGTTAGTTCCATGTCTTTATGGTTGGCTAAATTTTGGCTAAGCATTGTTCTGAACATGATTATATATTGTTGTTGAGTAAGATTTTACAACATCTTTATCAACTGCCATAACAACTTTATTGTTATGTGTTTTCAGTCAGATGTCGAAGGTCGATGTCATGACATCTTGATCTGGTACTGCAGTACAACATGCAATGTTGTTTTAAATCTTGGCAGATTTGATTTGATTCTGGAATATTTCTTTTGGATATATTTCAATAAATTTCGCAGGTCTGGAAGATTTAATCTGGAATAGGTTTTATATCTCCAGCTGTGCATTGGTTACTCAATTGGGCCTTGAGAAAATTTTGGAAGCTTTGTATTGGTTGTTCCAAGATTTAACGAGATTTGCTACACAATTAGTGCATCACTCAGGTTATGGATCAAGAAACTTTTGGACTCAGAATATCGAAGTCCGTGGACTGCTGAGTTATATTTAAAGGGGAATCCTAACCTAATGTAATTTAAGTTTTCAACAATTGTAAAATTAGGGGAAGCATAAGTATTGGGTTTTGAGAGTCTCTTCTGTAGTTTGTATGTCACTCATGCATCTTTTGATACTATGTGGTTGACTAATTGTTTCTTGAATGTTAGTCAAGTTATTGTTCTCACTCGAAGTTTTTAAGCAAGAGTTTGAGTTTTTGCATTTGAAGCGTAATCTTCTAAATTGGATTGTATATTGCAGTCACTGGGATTGAGACTATTAGATATCACTGAGGTAACTTAGGGAGTGAGATGACGATTTCTCATATTTATGGAGGACCTAGGTAGAAGTTGTATTGGATAGGGATTAGGCGAGAAGTTGTAAACGGGGGAGTTTAGCTTTAAACTAATATTGCTGATAGTGGACTTACTTCCTGGCTTGATAGCCCCTAGATGTAGGTGAATTTGCACCGAACTGAGTTAACAACTCTTTGTGTTATTTATCATTCTACAATTTTATTTATGTATTACTTATAGCTTGATTGATCTGGTATGCTGCCAGATGTTGTAACATTTGTCTTAACATCATGTTCTGATGTTGAGATGTATGTATGTTGTTTGTACTAGAATTTCAAAATTAAGTAAATATGATAAGTGAGCAAAACAAAAAAATTTTAATTAATGATTTGAATACAATCAACCGAGTAATCTATTTCTAATGAAATTGAAGGTAAAACTTATTTAAATAATTTATCAAACACTTAGTGTGCAATTTGATTTTTACATACTTTTACCATTATACTCTTGCTTAAAGTTACCAAATTTCAATAAGTATGAGTTTTTTATCAAAAAAATTGAAAAAAAATACCATAAACTTTGAAATGTCCATGAGTTTTACCGGAAATATGTACTAGACATTTTGAAAAAAATATCGAAAATCTCAAAATTTCCAATAAAACCTCTTGTATTTTTATCTAAATTTTCGAAAATGCATGTTTTTGAAAATTTTGAATGAACTACCGGAAATTTCATTCGGCTATTTTGTTCTTTTCTATCAAAAATATTTTTGGCTTTGTGACAAATTGGGGGGTGCTAGGTTTAAAATTGGGGGTGGCAGTTAAGTCCTCCCATATCTCAGGTACAAAATGACACCTTTCAATTGCATTCAGCAATTACAAAACACATTCATGAGTTGGGAGTGATGAATACAATACAGAGCCATCGTATCAAATTATGAAACACACACTTATAGGCGGGTCATGGTGTCCAAGATATAAATGGAAAGTTAAAGATGTGTTAAACAATAATCATCAATGAGAAGTTAAAGATATTAAATTTGATTACAATTTTTTTAATTTGTTTTTCATTACTCAAGCTTTACTTGCTTAACAAACAAGCCTAGCATGTCTTGAAGCCTTCCAACAATTTGAATAGTGTTGAAGCTCCCAAAATAACCAATTAGTATATAGTATATACTAGTATATATACTATACATGTCAGTGAAAACTTGAAATGATCTCATGATTGAATACAATGGTGGTAGACCACAAGATTATATACCATATTTACAAATATATATATATATACAAAAATGACCATGGACCCACATCAGTTATGGCTCTTGACTCTAGCAAAATAGAGTTCAACTTTTGATGCCAAGCTAAAGCTTCAGAAATAACTTACCTAAAAACACACCTCTTCGATGAGAATGAAACAAAGCCATTAAAACCAACAGAATAAAAGAGAAAACTGTAAGATAAAACCCTCGACACTACGAAGTAAATGATACATTTAAAAAGAATAAAAAAATTAGTATCGAAAGTAATCCTGCAGAACTCAATAACTGAAAGAGAAAGTAATGGGCAACAAAATAACCGAAATTGTTTATCTTCATGATTTTCCCCTACCGTTAGCTCCTTCACGCTGACTACGAAAATGACTGAGAAGTTGTTGTGCCTGCATGTACGTGAACAACATGTTAGTATCTGTTCTACATCTCAGATTGTGTTTAGTACCAGAGATACTGCATGTCATGATCACCAAAGTTTCAGCACTCTTTATGTCTGACAGCGATATTCTTCCATTTTGGTGTATCTGGACTTCATAGTCCTCGCTCGAACCAACCTTCTGCCTAAAAAATAACCTACCCCCTCTTCTTCTGTGTTCCATTACACATAATTCCAAACTAGACTAGGGTTGGGCTATTTGTTACGGGCTACGCCTTAAACAAGTGTGCCTAATAGGAGACATACTGATAAAATTCCCCATCTTCTTACTTAGTGGGTATCAAATCAAAGGGAAATTTTATCAAGGAAAACACAAACTAGATAGTCAGAACTCATGTTTCCCTTCATTTTCTTAGGAAAAATGGGCAGGGAGAGAGAATGATATGCTGCACGAAATACCTTAGGAAGTAAAATTTCAGCAATTAGTTTCAACAAACTAAATGTGTTAATTATCATGATTAAATCACAGCTTGAAAACTGTTGCATAATATTATTAAGAATATTCTGTAAATACTCCTACGTTGTGTATATATTATTTCCATGTATAGTTATTCTTATATCTACCTCTATTTCAGAGAGAAATCCGCACAAATCAATACAATTCAGAATTATTCTTCTCTTATTTCTTTCAACTGGTATCAGAGCTGAATGAATAGGAGAATAATATTCTTAAAAACACACTGCCTCCAACGCAGGGGCAGAAGGGTGTTTATGGTGATTCTCATTCAATCCAAATCACCTCTTTTCGACTCAGCGGGTCAAACTAGTTTCGGTGGTCTCAATCGGTCCAGATGTACACCCACCCAAGAAACCTGCTGGAAACTCCATGGGAAACCAGCACATGTGAATAATGGAAAACCAGGTCCTAGAGCATCCAGATCTGTCCCTACAACATATAAGGTGGAAAAAACCATGCTGAACAATGATCAAATTGATGAGCTCATAAGGTTGTTAAAATCTAGCAGTTCTTTATTTGGTGTTCCTAAAAACTGTATAGATGAATAACAACTCTCCAAATTCTGTAAAATGACGGTATATTTACACTAACCAAAATCTAACAATCAAAATTGATGGATAACAACTCATCCAAATTCAGCAAAATGACAGTATATGTACACAAAAAAAAAAAAAAATCTAAAATCAAAATGGACTACAAACTGAAAGAGGGTTTAGCTGGCTCCATACCTTTTCCTTTGCTCTTGGCGTTCCAAACTGGGACAATGCAACTATGGGAGGTACAGCTCCTTCTTGAAGAATGAGGGTACAAAACTTAGGGCTATGAAGGCTAAGTTGCAAGACAATCGATGCAGCATTTTCCTTTCCCCTATGAGAACCCGATTCCACAAGTTCAACCAGTAAGGGGATTGCCCTTTCGCGTACAATTTCTATTCGACCCTCTGGGATTGTCGATAAGTTTGCCAAAAGAGCAACAGCCTTGTCAACCATTCCATCAGCAGGGTCCAATAGCTTAACCAGAAATTTCACAGCTCCAGCTTGAACTATCCGAGCTTTATTCTCGTGAAATATTGATAGGTTAAATAAAGCAGTTGCAGCATCTTTCTTCCCCCTAAGAGTTCCAGAAGCTAGAAGCTCCACCAAAGCTTTAACAGCACCGGAGCGACCAATCTTCATCTTATTGTTTTCTGGTACTGAGAGGCTGAATAGAGTTGCAGCCGAATTTTCCTTGGCACCATTATTTCCATTCTTCAAAACATGGATAAGTGGTTCTATGACTCCTGCTTCCATAATCAAGGTCTTGTTGTCTTCATTAATCGACAAATTCAGTATAGCTGTCACAGCATGCTCTTGTGTTATCTTCATGTCTGAATATAGCAATGGAAGTAAATGCACAATGGCGCCACATTTCCCAACAATGATACGGTTTTCCATGTTATGCTTCGTAAGAAGCCGCAATTCTTCGGCAGCAGCAGCTTGTGTTTCTTTTGATTGACTTTGTAGATATTCAATCAACTTACCGACATGAGTGGTGGTCAATTTATCCGATTCTGAGTTGGAAACGGGATGGGCATCATCTTCTGAACTTGAATGGCTAACAAAAACAATATTATTATTGTTATTGTACTTATTTTCATTCTCTGTCATTGGATATTTTGATTCAGGGCTTTGAAACTGCTCTCGTGATGCATTTGGAAAATTCCCAAATTCTTTATATGCAGGACCAGCAGGGAACACGTTATTATTAATTCCTCCAGACAGAAGCACATTTTGATGTTTATTTGATATCCCTGACACCGTTGGAACATTTTGATGCTTCTCCTGCACATTTTGATGCTTATTTGATATCCCTGACACCGTTGGAACATTTTGATGCTTCTCTTGCATATTTTGATGTTTATTTGAAATCCCTGGTATCGTTGTATTTTCTGATCCAGGGCTTTGAAATTGCTCTCGTGATACCGTTGGAAACTTCTCAACTTCTTTATTTGCGGGCAAAGCAGGAAACACATTATTATTAATTTCTCCGGACACAAGCATATTTTGATGCTTATTTGATATCCCTGACACCGTTGGAATATTTTGATGCTTCTCCTGCACATTTTCCTGCTTCTCCTGCACATTTTGATGCTTATTTGATATCCCTGACACTCTTGGAACATTTTGATGCTTCTCCTGCACATTTTGATGTTTATTTGATATCCCTGGCGTCATTGGAATTTTTGATCCAGGGCTTTGAAATTGCTCTTGTGATACCGTTGGAAAATTCCTAACTTCCTTATTTGCAGGAGAAGCAGGAAACACATTATTATTAATTTCTCCAGACAGAAGCACATTTTGTTGCTTATTTGATATCCCTGTCACCGTTGGAATATTTTGATGCTTCTCCTGCACATTTTGATGCTTATTTGATATCCCTGACACCGTTGGAACATTTGGATGCTTCTCCTGTGCACTTTCCTGCTTCTGTACATTTTGTTGCTTATTTGATATCCCGGACACTGTTGGAACATTTTGATGCTTCTCCTGTACATTTTGTTGCTTATTTGATACCCCTAACACCATTGGAACATTTTGATGCTTCTCCTGCACATTTTGATGCTTCTCCTGCACATTTTGATGTTTATTTGATATCTCTGGCGTCTTTGCATTTTTTGATACAGGGCTTTGATATTGCTCTTGTGATACCGTTGGAAAATTCCCAACTTCTTTATATGCAGGAGAAGCAGGAAACACACTATTATTAATTTCGCCGGACAACAGCACATTTTGATGCTTATTTGATATCCCTGACACCGTTGGAACATTTTGATGCTTCTCCTGCACATTTTGATGTTTATTTGATATCCCTGGCATTGTTGCTTTTGATCCACGGCTTTGAAATTGGTCTTGTGATACCGTTGGGAAATTCGCAACTTCTTCATTTGCTGGATAAGCAAGAAACACATTATTACTAATTTCTCCAGACGACATCACATTTGGATGCTTATTTGATATCTCCGACACCTTTTTTGAAACTGATGGTACATAATCAGTACTAGAAATAGAACTTGAAAATGACTCACTTCTGCTATGACTACATGAAGGAGCCTGAGATTGTTGCTCAAACATTTCTGTCTCACCTTCACCGCTTAATCTAGAGAAGTCATTACCCTTTTGCTTTTCAAATGCATTTCCAGTTTGAAGAGTTGGTTTTGAATTGGAATTGCTACTAAGCGAAGACCCGAAACTACAGACCCGATTTAAATCTTGATGCAACAAATAATCTTTGGGGGGTGAACTTTGGGTAGAATTACTCTGCTTTGAGTGATGGGGAAGTTCGACGTTATTTTCTTCGCACCAACTTGCTATCATCGCTTTAACTGTATAATTGGGAATTAGAATTGCATGGTTAAGTGTCTGATGAGTCTTGGGACAAACATTCAGCCCGTTATCAAGCCAAGTCTGGATGGACTGTCTCTGGTATGTTTGACCTGAAGCAACAATAACAGGATCCAACATGAGTTCAAGCGATAAAGGGCATCGGAAGTATGATGGGACTGACACATCACTTTTGACTTCAGAGCATTTAGTTTTCATTGCATAATCACGTAAACTGCAAACAAGATTCACAATTTGGTTAACTTTATCCAACTCCCCTTTTGTTTTGTTAACTTCCGCATTCAACCTTTCCTTTTCCACAGCAATACTTTCTTTCAGTAGATCCTGGTTTGACGTCAAATTAAGTAACTCTATAATTTCCTTTTGACGTTCATAGCTAGGCTTAGTATTATCCTTTTGATTTCTCAACACTTCTTCTATATAGACAGATGTGGATTCCTTCTTAAGACACTTAAGTTCCTGCATATGATGCTGAAAAAAGTCGCCATCAATTAGTTTCACAACTTTATTGCTTGACATCACAACAAATAACTTAACATATATACTCCTTCCAAATACAGTAGTATCATTTACTATCTTCATCCTTTTCCTGAGAGAGAAGAAGGATAGGAGAATATAACCAAAGGGTTCCCACATTGGATAAGAAATGGCTGGAAAATGTGTTTATATAAGTGGTGGACTTTCCTCGCCTTACAAACAGATGTTGAAGGACTTTCCTCACCGCAGCAGAAACCTCATGGCAGGTGGTCCACCAGATCTTAAACCAGACTCTAATACCATGTTAAGAATGTGTGGTTTGGCCTAACTCAATCATACAAAACCGGCTTAGAGGGTAAGGATTGTCTCCACTTATAAGCACATGTTTATATGTCCAATGTGAGACTCTTAACAGGTCCAACCTAAATTCTAAGATGGCATCAAAGTCTATCCGTCAAGACACCTACCATTTATATCCACGCACCAAGCCTAATAGTACTAGGTGTTAGATGGTGTATTGGAAAAAAAACCCAAATGCTACATTGAATATAGAAAAGGCCATAAATGAGTTTATAAAGAGAGACACTGTTCTCTTTACAAACCAGTTTTTAGGATTGAGTTAAGACCCACTCAAATTCTAAGAAAGGAAGTGAGTGGTTTCGAATTTTGAACATACCTGAAGATTATTCAAAACTGAGGTAGATGAAGTTAACTTATGGAATCTATCAATTATGTGACAAATCCTAAGTGCAGTGTCCTGTAACATTATTAACAGTTCTCCACTTTGAAGAACCTGAAAAACAACAATCCCAACAAAGTTCAAAACAACGAGGCACAGGATCCTAAAAAGTTCGAAACAATAACGGCATTATTAGTTTGAGTATGAATAATAACTAACTGCTTACACTATGAACCCTGCTTGTCTTCGGACTCCAATTTTCAACAAACTCCCGAGCTTCATTAACCTGCCGGTCCAACTCTTCACATTCTCTATACAGATTCTCATCCAAAGGAATTTTGTAATCGAAAACATCATCAAGCACCGGTTTCAAACACCTCAAAACAGAAACCATATTAGTACAGTTCTTCTGAAGAGGGATAGGCTTCACTGTTTGGCAAGAAACTAGATGAATGAACCGAGAAATGCTGTTGATTACACATTTCGCTGAAGCTAGATCCATTTTACCTGTTTCAGTAAAACCACATAACAAAGCTCACATTATAAAAAATTATAAAAAAAAAACATAAAAATTAAAAAGAATTATTTGTACAATTTTTTCCAGCAACAGAATTGGAAATCATACACAAAGAGCTTCAACAACATGGAACCAATAACAATTCACACAAAACGAAACCTAGAAACCAATCAAATGAATCAAAAACTGCAAGAAATCCATGAAAAAATAAAAAAATAAAAATAAAAATAAAAATAAAAAAAGCATTTGCATACCTAAATGCATGATTCTGAAACAGATCGAGATGAATTGGAATTGATTTTTGTGTGAAATTGAAAGGGGAGTAGTGAAGGGTTTTCCGTTCATTCATGGCTGAGTTTTTCCATTCTCAACAAAGGGTCCGGTTCGGGTAACAAAGGGAATTTTATGATCAAATTCGGAAAAATCATAAGCGAGGAAAAAATTGGTTAAGTTAAAGTTGTGGGTCCTTAATAATTTTAATACGGTTGTAGTTTTGGGGAAATGAATCTAATTTAAAAGAATATGATATATCATCTTTTTCAATAAATAAATGTCTTAAAGTTGATAGATAGTAACCAAATTACTAATCAGATTATTTTAAACAGTTGTAAGAAAAATTAGATTATCTTAAAGACTTAAACATGTAACCCGTGACTGTTGTTGCTGACTTATTTATAAGTGTTGCTTATGATTTCAAAACTATTCACTCTTTTTACTTCATTTTAATTTTAAACTGATTTTTTTCTTTCCTTTCTAAACTCCTTTACATAATAAAATGGAATGAAATGAAATAAAATGAAATGAAATAAAGTGAAGTGGAACATGAATTTTATTTTATTTTAAACTATTTTATGAGAGAAGTAAATAAAATTGTCATTTCTAAATTTGTTTTTCCAATTTAAATTCTTTCCAAGATTCATCAATCAAACTCTCATGGCTTCTAATCACGAAAATCAATTTGTCGATGACTATGATTCTTCCACTACCACATTTGTTCTAAAAGAATTGGCCCTCCACCATCGAAAGCCCTTTTACCTCCACCCTAGTGAAAATCTAGGTGGAATCTTTGTAGCGCTTTCGCTTGATAATTATAACTATTATAATTAGAGAAAATCAATTCGATGGGTGTTAACATCTAATAAAAAAATTTACTTCATTAATGGAACCCTCAAGAAATCATCTTCATATGACTCAAATTTTGAACTATGGGGTCGAGCGAATAATATGGTTCTCTGTTGGATCAATATAACGCTTTCACTGCACATTGCTTTGAGTACGATCTGATTTGATTCCACCTTGGAGATCTATGAAGACTTGTGTGAAAGATTCACCAAAGGCAACCATTTTTGCTTCTCAGATCTTCTTTGAGACCTTCACTTAATCAAACAATGTGATAACCCTATCTCCCAGTATTTCACTAAATTGAAGATCCTCTAGGACGAACTTGAAGATCTTCACCCAACATCTTCATTTTCTTTTTAAAATCCTTGCACCTGTGATCTTGCCAAAGTCATTCGCAAATAAAAGCATATGGTATATGACTCTTGTTTTCTCAAAAGCTTAAATGTTTCTTACAACAAGATATGCACTCAAATCTTGATCATAGATCCTCTCCCAAACATCAGCCGTGTATACTTTCATTGTCCAATAAGAGAAATCCATTTCTCATTTTCCCATCTGACTCCAATATTCTTTACCCCCACTAATCATACCTCTATTGGTCACGACAAAGGTAGATGCTCTTCAAAAACTTCTATTTATCTACATATTGTAACAAGACCAACCACACCATTTATAGCTGTTATTTCAAGCACGGGTTTCCCCAGGGCTATAGAAAAAGAACTCAAGCTCAACGCCAATCACCATTCATATTCCAAACTACCAATCATGCTCCTACGTCAAACAAACATAGATCCATTTCCAAAGAAGATTATCAATACTTACTCACTCTTCTCTAACAATCTAAGCAAGATGCTCAAAATCACAATACATATAAGAACACATATGCTCATAATTCCCATATAATCTCAAGTATCACCAATGCAAGTATTAATAAGCAAATTTCTATTTGGATATTTGATTCTGAGGAATTAGATCATATGTCATGTCAAGTGTTTCTCTAACATTAAGCACATTGACCTTATTCACATACACTTTCCTAATGGAAACACCATTAATACCAAATTTTCTACCTCAATCCATTTTGATGATAACCTACAATGACATAATATTCTATATATTCCTGAATTTAATTTCACTCTTATCTTTATATCAAAATTATGCTTAAATTTCCAATGTCAGGTAAGTTTCTCATATAATTCCTATCAAGTCAATAATGTGTCTACAAAAAGAATGATTGATCAAGTGTGTAATAACAAGATTTGGTTATGTATCTGGCCTTGAGTTTTAATAATAATATTACATGGGTGATTAGATAGCAATTTAGTACTATAATGGTTTGTTTAGTGTGTAGCTTTTGTTAACAGGTTCTGACTCTAGAGAATTGACGGGTGACGTCATCAGATTCTAGACTCAACACACTAAGAGATACAAGTGTGTGTGTGTGTGTGTGTGTGTCATTGCTTAGAATGCTTCTTAAAACAACAATTCTGATGAACTTTAGCTTTATCACTTCTAATTGTGACTCTAGTAGTAGAGCTTTTAAGGGTTCTCAAGCTCTGACAATTCTAAAACTCTCTTACTCCAAGGTTCTGAAGATTCTGAAGACAAGTTCTGTTGAACAAGTTCTGAAGACTCTGAAGACCAATGGTTCTGAAGATTCTGAAGACAATGTTATGTTGAACAAGTTCTTCAGATTCTGAAGACACGACTCTGAAGACCAATGTGCTGAAGACTCTAAAGACAAGCTTCTGTTGAAGAAGTTCTAAAGACTCTAAAGATGAATGTTCTGAATGAAGGTAGAGAAAACACAAGAAAGTGGGGGTTTTGAATTGGGTTTATAGAAAACATTCCCCTTTAGAAATTCTGGTCACTCAAATGATGAAAGAAATAAGGACATTGAAGAGTAAAGGACACAAAAGATTTATCCTGGCTCACCTTAACAAGGTTAATCTTGTCCATCCCCTAAAGGGTGATTTTTCCTTCAACAAGGACTTAATCCACTATAACCGAAGTGATTACAATTGCATGGGCAACCTCCGGTGACTAATAAACAATGACACGTTCAGTGATCTCGACGGATATAACATTCATTGACCTAATATAGTTTGATCACTTAAGATCTCCTATCAGGATTTTCCATAATGACTGCAGCCACTGTCTTCTTGATATTGGAGCTTCACTCAGTCACTTAAGGCACCTTTCAATGATATGTCCAGTGATTCGATTTAACGAATACAAAAACCATTGACCCAACAGAATCTAATCATTTAAGATCTCCTATCAGGATTTCCCATAATGATCACAGCCATTATATTCTTGAGATCGTACCTTCACAAAGTCACTCAAGGAACCTTTCAATGATCTCCTATATCATTCATAGTTTTTCTCTTGCTGGATCTCTCTACACGGTTAAGTGTTTGATTCAAAAATCAATAATATAGTCGATCTCTGATACCAATTAAAGGTAAAGAAAACATAAGAAAGGGGGGTTTGAATTGGGTTTATAGAAAACATTCCCCTTTAAAAATTATGGTCACTCAAATGATGAAATCAATAAGGACATTGAAGAGTAAATGACACAAAATATTTATCCAGGATCACCTTAACAAGGTTAATCCTGTCCACCCTCTAAAGGATGATTTTTCCTTCAACAAGGACTTAATCCACTATAACCAAATTGATTACAATTTCACGGGAAACCTCTGGTGACTAACAAACAATCATACGTTTAGTGATCTCGACGGATATAACATTCATTGACCTGATATAATCTGATCACTGAAGATCTCCTATCAGGACTTTCCAAAATGACCGCAACCACTATCTTCTTAAGATCGGACATTCACTTAGTCACTCAAGGTACCTTTCAATGATATGTCCAGTGATCCGACTTAACGAATATAAAAACCATTGACCAACAGAATCTGATCGCTTAAGATCTCCTATCAGGATTTCCCATAATGACCGCAACCATTATATTCTTAAGATCAAACCTTCACAAAGTCACTCAAGGAACCTTTAAATGATTTATTCAGTGATCCGATTTAACAAATATAACAACCATTGACCCAATAGAATTTGATCACTTAAGATCTCCTGTTAGGATTTCCCATAATGATTGCAGTTATTGTCTTCTTGAGATCAGACCTTCACTTGGTCACTCAAGGAATCAATCAACAACAATTGATAAGGTTTTTGTGTTTACATGATTGCTTCTTCTAAGCAGATTACACAAGTGATTTAAGCACATATTGTTTAACACAGTTTTGAGCAACAACACTTGTGTTAAAACAGTTTACATGAAGAGATTAGAACTAGCACAACACGAGCAACAACTCTTGTGTACATTACAATGTTCTATCAAGATGTATTTGATCAGAAGTTGAGTAGCATCTTATAGTGTTCTTCTTCTTTATCTTCTTGTTGAGTAAGTTACAAGTAACAACTCCTTTCTTCTTCCGAGATCTACCAAGATGTATGTGATGATAGTTTATATATCATCTTGTAGTCTTCTTCTTCTTCTTCTTTCTTTATTTTCTCTCATTTTTGTGTAGTGGTCTTCAGCATGTTTAGCATTGCAGCTTTGACAGCTTGAGCATCCACGACTTTTCAGATTGATGGCCAAAGACACTTTACTTCAAGTCTTTGATCTTGTTTTATAGGCTTGAGAGAGAGAGAGAGAGAGATATATATGTTGTGAGTGTAGCGGTAGAAATGTTGAGACAAAGCCATTGGATTGACTTGACTCGCACAAATCAAATAAAAATTGTCAACACGCTTTATTGTTTCTAAAGGATTGGGAAAAGAGAGAATAACCCCAAAAGAGGGGGAGATAATCTAAGTTTGGGGGTTGGTTATGCAAA